GCTAGAAATTTGGTCTCTTTCAATTCATCTTTCTCTCAAGATTTTATATTGATTCTTGGAGTATTTCGGTTGATCTTTAATCAGAAACATTATTATTATATGAACATTACACTTTTAACATTTTCATACACTTGAAACACAACATTTTTAACATACAAATTTCAGGCAGCAACGTAGTTAATTTACAGCACACACATGCTCAAACAGTTAACTTAATACACTTTTCCGGAATACATATTTCATTCCTTACATATTTCCAAATACATATTCAACACATAATCACAATCAGACCTAAAATTATCTACTAGAAGACATACCAACACATGCTTTGAATCTTTCAATGGATCTAGTTACAGGGGCATGCAACAGGGACAACCTTAGTTTTTCAATTGCGATTAAACTGAACCTTAAGGGTCTCTTGGAAAAGGGACCAAGAGAAAAAGAAAACGCATGCCTGAAGTTTTTCAAAAGTGATTCAATGTGCTGCCTATTTTCCCACTAGCCAACGTCTCACAACCGAAACCACAAGCAAAATATCGTCAAGAAATTGATATTTACCTTTCTTTTTAAGCTTATTTTAATTTTGAGTTTTTAGCTTTCAAGTTCTTGATAAACTTTTGTATTTGACGTTCTGCTCTTGTTCTCTTGTTGAAGGCAGATCGTGAGTGAGAGGGAAGTGGTGAGAAACGTGTGAGAGTGTTAACTTAGGATTAGGAGATTAGGGAGAGACTTAGTCAAATTAGGATTTATCTTTAATTAATAAATAAAATTTGATTTTTTTCTCTTTTTCTTAAATCAGCAATTAAATATGAATTAATTAAATTAATCCACTATATAAAATAAATCAAATTAAATAATTGCTCCCACCAAGACTCGAACCCTGGTGGAGCAAGATTTCGCTCAAAGGGTCAATTTTGGCCCTTTCTACCCAAATTGCCCCTCCACCATATTAACTAATTAAATATTTAGGGTAATTACAATTCTATCCTTAGCCTGAAAAAAAAAAACTATTTTACCCCTAAAAACCCTCCAAACTTAAGATTACCCCTTTTTAAGTCTGGTTAAGACTGATCCGGGTAGATCTTCATATTCGGGTGCCCTACATTGTTGGACCCAACTTTTTCTAGCTCAACTAACTTATCAAGTTGGTTGGCCTGGCTGCTTCAAGGGTTCAGAGATCTAGTTTACGCGCTTCAATCCGTGTGAACCCGGTCTAATCGTAGGTGTTCTAGATACATTAAGCATAACTTAGCATAGCCATTTTAGGGTTGTTACATTATCTCCCCCTTAGGAACATTTGTCCCCGAATGACACTTCTAATAATCTAGCACAATGCAAGTCATATCATATCGTAGGTATTATTCACAGTCAAGCAATAACAACTAGGAATAGAGGAGATAAGGAAACTTAGACTTAAGAGTAGAAAGTCTAACCTCAAGAGCTGAAAAGATGAGGGTAGCGGGATCTCATTTCGACCTCGGCCTCCCACATAGCAACCTCAACAAGATGATTCCTCCACAATACCTTCACTGTGGCAATCTCCTTGTTCCTCAGCCGCTTGATTTTTTTTTCTAGAATCTCAATAGGTACCTCCTCATAGGACAAGTCTTCATCGACCCCCAAAACCTTCAACAGGCAGAATTGATGCTGGATCACCAAGGCACTTCTTTAACATAGAGAAATGAAAGAGTGGATGAACAGAAGCTAGCTCTGCAGGCAACGACAACTCATAGGCCACCTCACCCACACTCTGTATGATCTCATATGGCCCAACGTACCTCAGACTCAACTTCCCCTTCCTGTCAAACCTCATCACCCCCTTCATAAGTGATATCTTCAAATAAACATGGTCACCAACATCAAACTTTAAGGGTCATTTTCTGTTGTCTGCATTAGAGTTTTGCCAACTGTAAGCAATAGTCAACCTGTCCCTAATCACCCTGACCTTCTCTAAGGCCTCATAAATGATTTCTAGACCCAATATGGATGACTCTCCAACCTCGAACTACCCAACTAGAGACCTACACCTCTCTACCATACAGTGCCTCAAACAGTCTCATCCCAATATTGTTGTTATTATATGAGAACTCTATCAATGGCAGATGGTCGTCCCGACTACCTCTGAAGTTGATCATGCACGCCCTCAACATGTCCTCCAATGTCCGAATGGTGCGCTCTACCTGCCCATCTGTCTGAGGATGGAAGGCAGTACTGAGCTTTACCTGCGTGCCTAAGCTCTTCTGGAAGGATCTCTAGAAATGTAAAGTGAACTGAGCCCCTCTATCTGAAATGATAGACAACGGAATCCCATGCCACCTTACAATCTCATCAATGTAGAGTCTCGCATAATCCTTGGCCCTGTAAGTAGACTTCACAGGGATAAAGTGGGCAGACTTAGTCATCCTGTCCACAATAACCCATATGGAGTCATGTTGTCTCCTAGTCCTCGGAAGACCAACCACGAAGTCCATGTTAATGGCCTCCCACTTCCAAGTCAGAACCTCAATCATCTGAGTGAGACCACCAGGCTTAAGGTGTTTTGCCTTAACCTGCTGACAATTAGTGCACTTGGCAACATACTCAGCAATGTCCTTCTTTATGCCATCCTACCAATAGATCTTCTTGAGGTCATGATACATCTTGGTGGAACCTGGATGTATCGAATACCTGGAACCATGGGCCTCTACAGCAATCTTAGTCCCCAAATCATCCACATCACGTACACACAACCTGTCCTGGTACCTAAGTATGTCGTCACCTCCCAAAGCAAAGGACTCATTCATCTTTATCAGTACTGAGTCCTTCAACTCCATCAAAACAAGATCAACATATTGACCCTTATTGACTTCAACTACCAAGGATGATTCAAAACTAGGATGAACTGAAACACCCCCGCTAGTAGAATCCATCAACCGCACACCCAGTCTGGCCAATCCGTGTACATCCTTTACCAACTCCTTCTTCCCATCATCAAAGTGGGTTTTACTTCCCATGCTCAACCTGCTCAAAGCATCAACTATAACATTTGCTTTACCTGGATGGTAGTGGACACTCATATCGTAGTCCCCCAACAGCTCCAACCATCTCCGCTAACGTAAATTTAACTCTCTGTGTGAACACGTACCGGAGACTCTTGTGGTCTGTGAACACATCCACATGCACTCCATACAAGTAATGCTTCCACATCTTCAATGCAAACACCACAACTGCCAACTCCAAGTCATGAGAGGGATAATTATTCTCATGAACCTTGAGCTATCTGGACGCATAAGCTATCACCTTACCTCCCTGCATAAGAACACAACCCAAACCAACCCTAGATGCATCACAATAAATAGTGTAATTCTCAGCACATTTAGGTTATGTAAGCACTGGGGCTGAAGTGAGTCTGTCCTTGAGCTCCTGGAAACTCTTCTCACAAGTCTCCGCCCATTCAAACTTGGCTTTCTTCTTAGTTAAAGCTATCAGTGGGGCAGCAATGGAAGAAAAACCCTCTACGAACCTGTGGTAGTAACCAGCCAATCTCAGAAAGCTACAAATATCGGTGGGAGTAAGAGGTCTTGACCAGTTCTTAATAGCCTCAGTCTTTCTGGGGTCCACCTCCACACCCTGATCGAACACAACATGACCCAAGAAGGTCACTGATCTAAGCCAGAATTCACACTTGCTTAATATGGCATACAAGTAATGTTGTCTAAGTACCTGCAAGGTTAGTCTCAAATGATATTCACGCTCTTCCTTGGTCTTAGAGTAGATGAGGATGTCATCAATGACTACTATGATGAAATAATCAAGGTATTCACGGAAGACTACGTTTATGAGGTCAATAAATGTAGTTGGTGCATTACTGAGACCAAATGACATGACTAAGAACTTATAATGACCATAACGGGTACGAAAGGTTGTCTTTGGGATATCTTCATCCCTAACCCTAAGCAGATGATACCCAAAACGAAGATCAATCTTCGAGAAAAAACTAGACCCTTGGAGCTGATCGAATAAGTCATCTATTCTGGGAAGTGGATATATGTTCCTTCTAGTGACTTTGTTAAGCTGTCGATATTCAATACATATCCTAAGGGTTCCATCCTTCTTTTTCACAAACAGCACTGGAGCGCCCCAAGGGAATATGCTCGGCTGGATGACGCCCTTATCTGTGAGATCTTTTAACTGCAACTTCAACTCTTTGAGTTCAGCTGGAGCCATTATGTAGGGAGGAATTGAACTTGGTTTGGTATCGGGATCTAGGTCGATACCAAAATCAATATCTCGATGGGGAGGGACTCCAGGCAAATCATTTGGAACTCATTCACTACAGGCACAGAGTCTATGGAAGGAATGTCATGATCTAGATCATTGACACTCACAAGATGACATAACAATCCCTTAGACATCATTTTATTAGCTTTTAGGTTCGAAATCAAGGGACTTGAACGACTCGAATTGTACCCCTCCCAGACCAGCTCTAATTCATTAGGGAAACGAAATCTCACAACCCTACTACGACAATCCATGAAGGTATAACATATATGGAGCTAGTCCATACCAATTATAATATCGAAGTCATTCATGGGTAACTCAAGAAGGTATGCACACATAGTCTTACCACATACTACTATTGGGCAGTCTTTATGAACCCTATCAACTCTCACAGTTTCTCCCAAGAGAGTACTAACTACAATTGGATCATGCAAAACCTCAAGTAGTGTTTCAAAAGTAAGAGCAAGCTAGGGAGTCACAAAAGAAGCGTAGACCCTGGATCAAGTAAAGCATAAACAGAGGTTGAGAAAACTTGCAAAATACATGTGACCACATCAGTAGACTTCTCCTGCTCCTCCTTGCCCTTCAAGGCGTAGAATCTGTTCCTCTTAGTAAGATCGCCTGCGGTAGCATTCTGGGATTAGGCCTAGGTTGAGCATTACCTCCAGCCTAACCCTTATTCTGTGCACAGTCCTTGACCTTGTGTCCACTCTTTCTGCAATTGAAATAGGCATTTGTGCCTAGTCTGCTCTCTCCACTGTGAATACTGCCACACTTGCCACATTCTGTCTGGGATGCTGCACATCACCTACATTGCCCTTCTTTGGCTCGGTTCTGCGTCCTCTGGGTGTTGCACCCCTTTGAGAGTTAAAGTTCCCTGAACTCTGATGCCCCTTCTTAAATCTGGGATGATCACGAACTCCAAAAGTGTTCCTGCCACCACCTCTATTGGAATCTATCTGGTCAGAAGTGTTAGACCTCCTAACCTTACGGACTCTCCTCTTCTTCCTGATGTCCTCGACCTATTGGACACGCACCATCAGCCTGAACAAGTCCATGCTATCATGAAGCATCTCTTCCCTAAAATCCTCCTCCAAATCCTCTGAGATCCTTGTAAGGAACCTACTCATCTCGTCCCTGTTGTTCGGCACAAGGGAAGTTTCATACCTGGACAACTTCACAAATTTCAGGGAATACTCCCTGACAGTCATCGATCCTTGCTTAAGGTTGATGAACTCTTCAACCTTAGCCTCTGTTATCTCTCTAGGGAAAAACCTCTCCTGAAAAGCTGTCCAAACAGCTCCCATGTGATCGGACCTCCGCCCAGAGCTCGACTATCTTGCCACATCTTGTACCAGGCCTGTGCAACATCCTTGAGCTAGCAGGAAGCCAATTCAGCCTTCTCAGTATCTGTGGCCCACATGGTCATCAAAATCTTCTGCACCTCATCAATAAACTCCTGTGGATCCTCTGAAGTCTTAGATCCTTTGAAAATCAGAGGATTGATCCTTGTGAAGTCCTGTAGTCTGTCTGCCATGCTACGCGCTGGTGGGTTCTCCCGCTGAACCTCCTGCTTGTTCGCCTGGAAGTCATAGCCTGGGACTGCATAGTGTTGGCTTGATCCATCTATGCCAAAGTGGTCCGCACCTCCACATCAGTCAACCCAACTGAGTTAACTGGCATGGAACTTGGTTTCCCCCTGCAACTGTTTCTCCTCTCCTCCGATCAGCGTTCCTTCTGGTGTTCATTTTCTAAAAAAGATAAGAATTGATGTCAAATACGCTCATAACACCAAGATATCAGTCATTAGAGAAGGCACGATAAGATCAGAAGAAGGGAATTTTCCAACGCATCATGCAAACTCTAATTCAGGATAGTGGTGCACTTTACTACCATGACTTAGAAACTACTCAATGTGGTTGATGTGAACTTATTACCCTTGGAATTTAACCTAACGCTCTGATACCAATTTTGTCACGACTGGAATATAGACCCCGAATGAGACCGGCATCATTAACCTCTCAGAGGTCGCAGACAAGCCTACATACGTCATCGTTACATCATCTAGTTTAATTTTAGCTGAAAATTTGAAACTTTTTCTTACTTGAAGTATACATACACTTCATAGTAGAATATGTTATACTCATATAAGATTTATCTACATCAGTTCATAATCGTTCACAACAAACATCTAATACCAAGATACTCAACTGAATGAAATAGTCAAATCTGCATAAAATATAAGGTTGCCAGAATGGCCCCAATACAATGTCTGAAAATAACCGAGAAAGAAACGCTACAGGAACATCCTCCACTAGATCATGCCTACATCTAAGCTAGAATATAAAAGATAAGCATCCTCGAAAGCATGAGGGCCTATCAAGTCCGGATGAATGCTCCATGTCTGGATAACTCCAACCTAGTCTTGTAAGCTCTAGCATTCACCTGCACCTGCACCTAATTAGTGTAAATGTATGGAATTAGTACACACTTGTACTAGGTATGGGTATATGCAAGCACACACCACGGACATGCATGATTTAGAAGATCTCTCTCCTAACGATATGAGTTATGGAAAGTCAACTCAGTAGACTTGCTAAAATCGGATTAGGAAAGTCATGCCATGAGAGTAACATGCATCATCATACGTATCATATTGCACATAACACATAACATATTATATATAGCACATAACATATTGCATATAACACATATCATATTTCATATCATTCATTCATATGCCATGAGACCTTGGAATCATGGACTTAACATTAGGACTTCCCAAAATGAGGGATCAACATATGGGACCTCAACTAGAGAGCTTTCTTTAGCAAACACAGAGTTTGCTTCATTCATTCATACGTACTTCATTTCACTTAATCCATAGGCTATTGTAAACACCAGTTATACCTAGGATGTAGTTTAAGACTCTCATTGGGTTCACTGTGCAATGACTAAGAATGAACTAGCGTCATTACGTAAGTCTATTTCACCTCTTGATTATCCTAACCAAGCATTTTTGGTATCGATCATTTGTTTGTGTGCATTACATGAGGTTGGACTCACTCTTTCTTTGGGAAATTTAACTTTAAATGACATAAATCATGTAAGCTCCATGAAATCGTGTGTTTACCCCACACCAAAAAAGAGGTGGAATCACCAGCCAAAGTGAAACCAAAAACATGCTAATGTATATAGGGGATTGACCCCTGCAAGATCCCTATATTTGTTGCATAGGTTCAAAGACTAGCAGATATAAGGAGACCCGTACCTGTCTGGACGGACAGTCTCATCTCATGTGAATTACACGAACCTCTGCCTTCCCGAAAGAAGGCATCTCCACTCATAGCTAGCCTATCGGTGCTTAGTATAAAGTTCCATTACATTCATCTCATACATTATAGACGTTGACTTCTATAGTGAGGACATCATTGCTAATTAGATGATTTCTCATCTCATCATATGTATTAAGTATGCATTAACTTTAATACTTTTATTAGAGTGTTCATAAAGACTGGTCTTTTCATTAACTTTACACTCTCATAGGTGAGTACGTTTTTGTAACATTTACCAGGCTCATTTGAGATGGATCTCATATTTCACATTATCCTCTTATCATGTTGTCACCATATTCATTTGTCTTTTAGTGTGTTTCACACTCTTACTTAACCCTTTTGGGGTCTCAGCACTCAACACATAACATCTTAGGTTCACTTACTTTATAAACGTATGCTGGACTTATGAGTCTATACACACAAGCCATGAGGCTTCATTCATAGTTCATTTAAGTGATTCATATTGCCCAAGATTATGTGATACAAGACTTATGCATCTTGTAAGTATGCCAAGATCTCAATTTGATTCCTATAGGCAGCATTCATTAATTATATAATCACGTAAGACTTATGTGTCAATACGGAATTGGGCAAGAGAACCCGATTTTGAATCCCTTGAGCAACACTTAATCTTATATTAAACTTGATAATTGCATTTTTCAAATTTTGGGGATCCTAGTTCATCTCATCAACCCCATACCATTTTCTTTCTTTTCCCTCTTCTCTTTCTCGTTTAAGACAAGGATATTGTGGGATCAATCCCCCAGAAGCTCATTCTTTTTCTCTTAATTTTTCTTTAACTTTCTCAGTTATCCGTGAGGTTGTGGGTTCAATCCCCAATCACCTCATTTTATTTTCTCCTTTATTTTTATCCTAACTCTCTCATCTATTCAAGAGGTTGAGGGTTATATCCCACTCATCTCATTTCATTTTTCTCCTATTTTTCTCCTAATTCTCTCATCTATTCCAGAAGTTGTAGGTTCAATCCCCACTTACCACATTTAATTTTCTTTTTGTTTTTCTCATGAATTTTTATGTGATTTGCATTTGGTAAGTTCTTAGGTTAAATCTCCAATGACATCATATTTTTTTAAAAAAATTGAAACATAGCTCATTTTTTCAATCTTAGGCCGAGACGAACAATTTCCAGCAAGATGGAAATTTGGTCTCTTTCAATCCATCTTTCTCTCAAGTTTTTATGTTGATTCTTGGAGTATTTCGGGTGACATTTAATCAGCAACATTATCCTTATTTGAACATCATACTTGAAACACAACATTTTTAACAAACAAATTTCAGGCAGCAACATAATTAATTTATAGCACACACATGCTCAAACAGTTAACTTAATACACTTTACATCTTTCATTCCTTACATAATTTTCAAGTACATAGTCAACACATATTCACAACCAGACCTAAAATTATCTACCAGAAGACATACCAACACATGTTTTGAATCTTTCAAAGGATCTAATGACATGGGCATGCAACGGGGGACAACCTTAGTTTTTCAATTGCTATTAAATTGAACCTTAAGGGTTTCTTGGGAAATGGACCAAGAGAAAAGAAAATGCATACCTGAAGTTGTTCAAAAGTGATTCAACGTGCTGCCTATTTTCCCACTAAGCCAACATCTCACCGCCGAAACCACAAGCAAAATCCGTCGAGAAATTGATTTTTACCTTTCTTTTTAAGCTTGTTTTGCTTTTGAGTTTTTAGCTTTCAAGTTCTTGATGAACTTTTGTATTTTAAGTTCTGCTCTTGTTCTCTTGTTGAAGGCAGATTGTGAGTGAGAGAGAAGTGGTGAGAAATGCGTGAAAGTGATAACTTCGGATTAGGAGATTAGGGAGAGACATAGTCAAATTAGGATTTATCTTTAATTAATAAATAAAATCTGTTTTTTTTTAAATCGGCAATTAAATATTAAATAATTAAATTAATCCACTATATAAAATAAATCAAATTAAATCATTGCTCCCACCAAGGCTCGAACCCGGGTGGAGCAAGATTTCGCTCAAAGGGCAATTTCAGCCCTTTCTACTCAAACTTCCCCTCCACCATATTAATTAATTAATTAATTAAATATTTAGGATAATTACAATTATACCCTTGCCTAGAAAAAGACCATTTTACTCCTTGACCCTCCAAACTTAAGATTACCCCTTTTTAAGTCCGGTTAAAACTCATCCGGGTAGATCTTCATATTCGGATGCCCTACATAGCTGGACCTAATCTTTCATAGCTCAAATAACTCACCAAGTTGGTTGGCTTGGCAATTGCAACGGTTCAGATGTCTGGTTCTACGCGCATCAATCTGTGTGAACCCGGTTTAATCGTAGGCATTCTAGATACATTAAGCATTACTTAGCATAGCCATTTTAAGATTGTTACACCCTTCTCTTCACCCCATTGCCATTGTTATCATTAGCACCAGTTTCAGTTGCAACTTTCTCATCTGCATATTTATTCAGTTGTTTCTTCTTTTCGTCAAGTTTAGACTTCGAATTTCTCTGTCTTGCTAATATATTTTTCCTTGAGCACTCGTTTTCTTTGAATATAGGTTTCATAAAATAAAATGGTTTGACCAAATCTTAATATAATATAAAGGAGAATCAAAGATACGGTAATGTGACATCTCTCTATGATCTCCACATGTATTTATCTTTTTTCTCATTTTCTTGGCTTTTCTTTCATATTTAAAGTAATGATTTTATTGCAAAAGTTATTATTTAATTTATTACAATAAGTATTATATTAATGGAAAAAAAATTAACAACAAAGACTCTTCACATGTCAACTTACAAAAAGTGGTTATTCATAATTCATTCATACCTCTCTAATTTCTATTATTAATAAAAAAAATATTTTTTAAATTTTTTGTCCTTCTTCTAATTACAATTACAAAAGATAAAATATTTTTTAAATATTTTAAGTATTTTATCTTTATTATTTAATTTATAGAAAATGTG